TATAACCTACATTTTGTTATTATTCATAGAAATTAATTAATATTTTAATTAATAACTAATGACTTAAATAATTATATCAAAAATATATACCATGAAATACATATACTTGGTGATATAAGCTGACAGATATTTACAGAAAGATGTTATTACGTTTGTGTCATATATGTTGATATAATAATATATAAATATATATTAACATATTATTATAATAATTAAATACTAACATTATAAAAAATGCAATATTTTCTAAAAAAATTATTACATCCTATTAAAATAGTAAAAGTAAATTACTAAATTACTTTAATAGCTAATAAAACATATCACTTGTAATATAGGTTGATAAATTGTTTCCGCTTAAAATCGTTTTCCATTTACAATTTGTTGTTTAGATAAGTTATAATATAACTTTGTTCAAATGTTTATACATTTTTCCAGTTTTTTTTTTTTTTTATTGGGTAACATTATAGTTGCAAATTTTCGTGTTTGATGAATTTTGTCAACATTTAAACTTTAAATGCATATAAATAAAAAATAAACTTATTATTTTATAGTTCAAATATTTTTAAGTAACTAAACAAAAACTTATAAAGAATCATGCATAATATGTTTAAGGGTTTTTAATCCTGTGAAAAATAATAAAAAATATTAATGAACTTGCAATTAAATATTTATTTTAATTCCAGTAATAACAACTAGTGAGAAATCTTGTATACCAAAAAATATTTTATTAATGTTAATGGAAAAAAAAAATAGAAAATTTAAAATGTTTATAAATAACTCAAAAAGAGTCAGAATACTTAGTAAATTATATTATAAATAAAAAATGCTATTATAAACATTTAAAGAACATTTTAAATCGGTATCTGCAGTTTTATATTGGTTTATATTGGTCATTTTATACACTTTTGAATTTTTATATTTATTTGTTATTATATATTATATATTAAATAACCTAATTTTATTTTACCGATTGGATATTATTTTAGTGAATGAATTTTTCATGGACATTTTTATAGGATACTTGTTTTATAATGATAATTTTAAAATTAATTATTATTTTTTATAATAGAAAAATGCTTTGTTAATTCACTTCAAGTGCCATTTTTGGTAGTAAATTTAATCCAGTTAATACTTTTGTTGGATCAAAATTCCTAAAGGTTTTAAAAGTAATCAGAAAAAACCAAAAATAAACAAGGAAAAATGAAAATTTTTATGCAAAATAAAATCTAATTAAATTTATTATTTTCATCGTAATTCCAAAACAAACATTTGCAATTATAAAATATTCATATTAGCGTTTACTTACAGACATGATATAACTTTCAAAATGTTTTTACTTTTTTTAGTTATTTATTAACACTTCGATATTTTTTTCTTTTACAAATAGCAATACAAATTTTTGCTTGGCTAAAAAGCTTAAAAATTAATTTACTTAAGGCTCCTCAAATAAAGTATATATCAATAAATCGAAAAAAATATATATGCATAATTTTTTTCATAGATATTTATTTAAGTTAAATTTGAAATTTAATACTTAAATAAAGAATAAAGATTTAATTATTTTTTTGTAATTTAAAAATATTTTTCTCGAAGATTTGAAACTTACACGTTTATTATTATATTTTATATACATAACCTATGATTTTTATACTACTATATAATATGTTTATATAGTTATAACTTATAACACGAACATATTCATTCCGTTTTATGGTAATTCGGTGATAATTTGATATAAATAAGTAATAGAATATAAAACAATAGATAATAATATAACAAATTCATTGTTTTCTCAGAAATTAATTGAAACTACCGTACCTTTTAAATATAATAAAATATATTAATTAATAGCATTATAAATATATCATAGTAAATGTTGATACTAATTTTAATTAGTCAATAAATACTAGATATCGTTAGTTAACAAATAGATAATAACATGGTACAAAACAAGTTCCCATAAAGTACTGAAATTATTAATGGTTTTAACTAGTATTTTGTAAATAATTTAAATTAATTCATTAGAATTCTATTGATATTTAAACTTAGGAAATATATTTTAAAATAAACTGTATACCCGAATAAATAGTTACTATGATAAATTATAGTAAAATAGTTACTAATTTATAATTAAAATTGTATTTAAAATTTATACTCAAATCTATTTCAAAAAAATTATTTTTTTTACATCATTGTACTTTTATATTATTATAACAATATTATGTGCATTTTTGGTTGACGCACAATGGTTACACTTATTATACAGGTGATGTTGACTTACAAGTGTTCTTTAAGTTGTACTTCAAATAAATGCATCATTACATAACACGCATATATAAGCACAATGCTGTAGGCACATTCATTATATATTTATAACAACATTTTAAGGACTTGTTAAAGTGAAACAAATCTCTGTTTAAATATTTTGTACTGTTATTACACAACACTGTATAGGTAGTATAATATTTTTTATTTATGATGATAATAGTAATAATAATTTATAAAAAACACGACATACTTTCAGTTATATAGCTTAAAAATAAACCTATAGATGAAATAATTATGGCGATTTGAGTTTATTGTCTCAAATAATAAATAATTTATGATTTGTTTTTCAGTTTTTTATAGCTTAATTCATAATGTAATATACTTTAGGGATAGATATATTTGGAGACGAGAGAAAACAACCGCGATATCATTCCTAAAACGGCTAATATTTTTTTAGTATGATATATATTTATGTATTAAATAAACAGTACTGCACTTATAGTTAAGTATGAATGTAAACAAATTACTAGTTAAAATTAAATAAATTATATTAAAATAACAGGGTAAGGTCGGTAAAGGATTAGGTAACCGATTTACTGTACAGTAGTGTACAGTAGGAGTGTCGAGTACCTTAATACTTCGTTATTGTAGAGTAAGTCATTGTAATATTATTTGTGTGTATAATTTGAATTCAATGATAAATCATTGCATAAGAAATACGACCCTAATCTATAAGCCTATCATAATATATAATTACTAAGTATTTATTTTATAATTAGTAGGCACACTAAGTTTTATTAATCTTCGCCTAAAACATTGCATTTGAAAATGTCATTATGTGTTTATAATATAATATTATACGTTAAAAGTCTCAAGTATCCAAAGTATCCATTAATAATATTTTTAAATCATAAATCATAATTTTTTGTCTAATTTTGTCCAAATTTCAATTTAAATTGTCATTAGTAAATTATATTTTCATATTTTTTTAGCTCTTTTGGTTTCAATATGAACTTTTTGCGAGAAACTTTTTAATTCAATTTTCAAGTCTTAGCTATAACAACTGACAATGTTATCAATTTTTTACTTTAATCTAGTTTGAAAATGTTGGCGTATTTTATCAAAATTTAAACTTCAAATAATTATCAAAAAAATTGTACCCATGTATTTTTAATAAAATGTAATAAAAAGTTATGTGAGATCTTGTTTTAAGTTTTCAAGTATTTTGATAAAAGAAAATAATTTTATTGAAATAAAATTAAAAATAAAATTTCAATCGTTTATAAATATTAAAAAAAAGAAAAACAAATTTGAAAAGTTTACCATTTACTGATTAATGATTATATTATTGCAAAAATTGATGAAAATTACAAGCACCTACGAATATTTGTTTTTAAATTATATCAATCTGGTTTTGCGTAATAGTTCTTATTTAAAAAAATGTTTTGTTTATTTTTTCGTTTCAATTATTTTTACCTGTAAAAAGCACATACTAGATCTAATTTGCTATTAGAAAACATATTCAAAGTTGAAAATTATATTAATTTTCGTATTCTATTTCATATATATACAGACATACAAAATAATTTAAAATGATTATGAAAACTATAGTTATAAACTATATAGTTATGAAAACTCCGTTCTTCATCTTAGTCCGCTCGTTATTTGATCTAATTGGAAAATAATTTGAGATCTTTCTACTGCTGTCGAGTCTGGCATGCTTAAACACGTTCAATCAAGCTTCTTAAGCTTTGTTTCTTACTCTCTGAATAATTTTTATATAGGTACTTTGTTGTCGTGTTGGGTAGTAATGTAACGATATAGTAACTATAACGAAGTTTGGTATATTAAGTGTTACTCAATTCGTTGTTTCGTAGAAACGAAATCGTAATATGAAAATAATGCGCATAACCATTGTAATTTGTTTTGAATATTGCTAATAAAAATATATTCATGCATATTAAATTAAAAAATTCTCAACTCAATAGTTTTACATTTTTGCACAACTGTTGTACATTATTGACACAAATACCTATATTATTATATAAATAGTTCATTTTGCCTGTTATATAATTATAATATTATTACACGTATTTTATAAACAAACGCGAAAGTAAATATTTAATAGTTAATAATTTAAAATAAGCAAAACTTTTGATTTGAGAAAAAAACTATTTTTAAATAATATTATATTTTAATAATAATGTAATAATTTTGTAGAGGTAGAGGGTATAAATTTCAAATGAAAAATAGTTTGAGTTATCACGTAGATACTTGAAGCAACTATATTAGTTTACAAGACAAAATATTAGTATATTTTTTTTAAAGTTGGGCGTCTGAAAAGTAAATTTAATTAATCTTTCAAGTTTTAGTTTTGAAAAAAAAAACAAAATAACAATAAAAAAGTTATACTTTATCTTAAACTTTTGACGACATATTCTGTGTATGCTTTTGTCTTTATACTTGTTTTGTTTAATCACTCATCATAAAACCGATGTAAAACTGATCACCTAATCTATTATTTACAGATAAGTGATTGGCATGTAGACATAAGGTTCAATAAAAAATAACGTAAATAATTTTGCTATAATATTTATTCATATAATAATTTAAAAATGAAACACACGGATGGCTCTTAATCAAATGACTTTATATTATTATAACTAGTTAAATATGAAATTATGCTGACATTAAAATACATACTACATATCTATAATAATAATTAATATATTCATGTAATAGTTTACATGACGGCAGTCAAAAAAAAAAAAAAAACAATAATATAATAATTAAATAAATACAATTCTACATTACAAGCTATGCTAGACACAATATCGTAACAATATGTTTATTATAACGGTGCGCGACTATCTAAATCATTTTGAGGGACGATCCGACTAAAATACAAACATTTTGAAACGTCAGCGGTGGTGTGCGTTATTTAATTTGAACTCGTAAACCGATGTGAACGAATTCTCATAATCTTAAAATGTCGTGTAGGTACAATATAATAGATAATATATACATAGGTAGGCTTAGGGAATATCAAATAGTATTATACTAATATATTATGTGAACAAACTGCATTGCTAAATCTGCTAAATTTATCGTTTACGATTGCAACAGAGATCGTGAATAACACCGACGCTTATCTATTTCAATGAAGCGTCGAAAGGGGTAGAATTCGAGTCCGATCTGGAGCATGCCAAATGTCAAATTGGAAGTAGTTTAATTGCATAACTCCTCACCTAAAAAAAAAAAATATTTTCTACTCACACTGGGCTTTAAAAAACTTTAAAAATAGTAATGTTTGTATTGCACTAAATCTGATCATTTTACAGAAATTGTAAATATTAATTTTAAACGAGTATTTTATGTATTTATATATTATTTTATAATACTATGTAGGTGTGTAAACTTTCTAAAGTCTCCTTCGGGAAATTTAAAAATCGTTATAAAAGTGAACGTGCCTGTGATTTAACTGTACAAGAACATTATACATTTTATCAATAAAAACATGCAAATAAAGTGTTAAGTGCTGTAAGCATTGTAAGTGGATTTATGGAGTGTAGTAAATTGGAACGTTACATTTTTAAGCCCAAATGCTTTCATCGTGTTTTTCTGTCCTGTGCGTGATTCGAGAAGTCAAGAAGAATAAATGCGATTCAACCCGTAAAATTAATCAAAAATTGAAGATAAAAAAAATATTTTTTTATCAATAATTGATTATAGAGAATAAAGTTTTCAATAATTTAGTATTTTTTAATCTGTAGACATTACTGATAAAATTTATTTTTTCGATTTTGAACTCGGAAATTATTATTGATAATTGCATTATAAGGATTAACTAATTGCTATTTTTTTTTTTTAAGGCGACGTAGCCGATTTGAGTGGTTTGGTCACAAGCAAAGTCATTTTCGAATAACAAAAAACATAAAATGATATGTTTTGCGTACCGCGTTAATGTTATACCATTATATTATGTTGAAATAATATTCAATATCATGTTGTTAAATCGAATATGAATCTTGTGGTGATCGATAATCAAGTACGTCGTACATTATATTATGTACGTGTTTATTAAACCAATAGAAAATAACAACAAAAAACAGAACTCAAAGTCAAAGTCGTAAGCGTAACGGAAGTCACACACACAAAAGATTTTCGAGGACTATTCACGCCGCACATGCTTTACGCGCGAGTATTGGTGTGTAATATTTTAGCGGGTAGTATGCTATTATTATAATAAAATATGACGTCTATTATGGTGTATTATACGTAGCATTAGTCGAACCATCTATATAATGGAGGTATCCGCGGTATAAAAATTTTTGATGTGTGGGGCGAGGGAAAAGTGCCGCCCGGATAACGAAAATAAAAATGTTCGCGTTCCAGTGAAATATTATGACGTATAATACAGGCGACGCTGCAGCTCGTTGGTTATATGAGGGAGACAATCTTCTTCAATCTCAAAAGTTTGTTGGAAATTTAATCACATAAAATATTTTATTTTAAATATTATTACGTGTAAATTATAGGTAGGTATGCCGGTATGCGTATTATTTGTTCACATTGAATTTCCGTCGAGACTTAATAACCTCCTATCACTCTCTCTCTCTCTCTCTTAAAAAAAAAAAAAAATGTCTACTAAAATTAGTGCATAGTAAGATATTATGTAAAATAAGATTTTATCTTAAACAGGCTTGAGGACTAGTGCTGTTCATAAGTTTATTTACTTATCGTTAGTATGACGCGTGTCTGTCGTGTATAATAGATACGAAAATCTTATATTTTTATATGACATTTATATAAACAGTTAGAGAAGTATATTTGAAAATTAAAGTGTAGGTATTGAATTAAGACAGTTTGTTGGAGAATTTTTTTGTGAAGATTTAAAAATTAACAGTAAAATGTTAAGTTATATTATTTGTAATCAATTTTTATTTTTTTTTTTTTAAACAACAATATTTTATCATAATAGAATTTAAAATATTGACTATAGTGGTTTTTTCTTTTTAATAAAACGACTTGATTAATTCAATCTTTACACGCATGCTAACTTAAGTTAGTTAAGATCAGATTATAAGTTGTATTATAATAATAAGTTATGTTGTTCAATTTGATTTACCTAGACATCTATATCGAATCGAAAATGTTTTGATTTCTAAACATGGTAGTGACGTAAATATGCATTACATTATTTATTTTTTTCGGAGGGAGAAGGACTGGTTATATTTTGATGAAATTTTACAAATATTATTCTTATGTTATAATGTTTACGTTATGTATCCGAACAGTTTTAATTTTAGAATGGAGAAGGCTTAAGAAGTTTAAGGCTTAGTCCTCTTGATTATCCCTATTTTCGCCTACGGGGTTGATGTATGTATATAACATCGGAATCGCAGGAAATCTAAAACAGTGGAAAGGAGTAGAAGATGGGTACTAATCATAAATGTATCATTTAACCACCCAAGCCGCCGTCAAGTGCGCTAATAAGGCGACTAAAGTTAACTGAAAAAATACACGCAATAACAATCGTTTGAGTGTACATTATCATAATATAATAATATAAATCATTAAGCATTTATATTATTATTATTAGGTACTTTGTATGGGATCTGATGAATTAAAAAATTAAAATAGATCGATGTTTTTGTTGTGGTTAATACGATTTTTAGTTCTAAAAAATTACATTTCTAAAATGGTGTTTCACTTCATTTACATTACATCCAATCGAAATGTCGAACAACTTGCGTCAACAATGTTGTTGTACGACGCGGTCATTGTGCATTTGGACGCCGTAGTGGCAAATCTCTACGCGTCGATCCGTGGACAAACGGTGACACCTTTCACACATTCATGTAGGTATGTATAAGTATTGTGTACGTGAAATAGGCGTATGTTTTATTTATAAGTCCTAGATTAGGGAGTACCAAATACATGTACGATATATTGTTCCGGGGGTGGTTCTGGGTCTCACGTCTCTATTATCGGCTTTATGCAATATACGCAGCACTGTAGGACACGACGGTTATAATAGACTTATGGCACAATGCACGAACGTACCTCATCACGGATTATAATACATATATGACATACAACGATAAACCTATATAGTGAGATATATTACACTTGTACTCTATACATGCAGTCGGTGTGGTGTGAAATCGACGAAAAACCGGAGAAAACCGTCCGCGACCGCGTGGATGTCCGTCGCGCGTCTGGCTCGCGTCGCATACGACATTCTATCAATAATAATAATAATAATAATAATAAATATTAAAATAAATTATTACACCGAGCGGCGTCTCGACGGGCGAGAGGGGTTGCAGGGTGTTTAGGGCGAAGCGTGGGGTGGTGGTGGGCGGACGTGCAAGCTTCCTATCGCACGTTGTAGGTCTCCAACAGCTCTTGGACGGATAGGCAGTGACTGCACCCGTCGTCGTGCACGAATAGGCTGTGCGACACCAGCCCGAACTTGGGGTCTGGTTTCGGCGGGGTCGGGTCGCTGACGCACACCACAGACACGGTCACGGGCGCTTCCTTGGACGACGGCTTGTTGTTGCGGCCGGATGCCGCGCCACCGTAATTGTTGTGACCTCCTCTCATGCGCTCCACCGCTTCGTCGTAAGTGGGCAGCCCTGTGACGATCGTGTAGCTGGGCAGCGAGTCGGCGTCGTGCTTCCGCGAGTTCTTTTCGTTCCTCCTACGTTGAACTGCGGGTACGGCGGGTACCGGAAACACAAAAAAATCGTAAAAGTATAGTAACTGTAGAGTTATTATGTGATGGATTATGTACGGCGTGAGTATATATAATAGCTATAGTAAAACAATTGAATTGTTGATAACAGTATGAAAAAAAAAAAATAAACATAATCTATAAGGTCTATGATAATTTGTAAGACTGATTTTTTTTAACTAATCAATATTTGAGTTATAATAGATATATTTACGAAGCTACTGTTTTAACTGATTAAAGTTACAAATTTAAAAATCAGTTAGATGTGTTATGCGAGTACCTACTTGAAATTTATGGTGAAACACTTTATATGCAAATTTCATGAAACTATAGTGTATACAAAAACAAAAATAGATAGTATTGAATAATACGAGTAGGTATATACAAGAAAAAATACCAAAAAGGGAAGTCATCCAATGATAGAACCATATAACAGTACTATAACTTAACTTACAAGTCATTTATAGGTATTGTTTTAACAGCATTGACTTCTTTAAACGTTAGCTATCAGGTAGTTTTATTGTTTTATGATTTGAAATTAATGTATTTGTGTGAAATCGTAATTTTCTTTAGAACTTTAAATGGCTTTATTATTATAAGTTATATTGACTGCTATTTAATTCAGAAATAAATAGTGTATTAAACATTTCTGTACTCTAAAATGTATTATTATTAATAAGATATATATATATATAATATAAATCATAAGTAATATATGCTTTAGAAAGATGCATAATTTACCACACATTTGAATTTTAATATATTTTCTATTAATATATTCTTAAAAAAAAAAAAAATGAACCAATTACCATTTTTTTTATTTTGCTAATAAAAAAAAATATAAAAATTGTGTAATGTAATTTTAGGGTCGAATATTTAACTTTTTCTTATAGTGCTATTTGTTCCAAAATATTCAGTATTAAAATAAAAAGTTTTTACGTACCCTTAAGGACATTTGTATATTTTAAATCGTGCTACTTATATATTTAATAACAATTTTTTTATTATTTTTTAGCGCATAAAAAACTAAGCTTTGAGTAGGTATATTACGAACGACATTATATTATTTTGAAGATTAATAACGATTAATGTATTTTAAGTTGCCTATATAGTATGCCTGGCTTAAATAGATTAATACAGTTTATATTTATTTTATCAGTTTTATGACGACACATAATCAGTTGATGTAGTCGTAATTTTTTAGTGAGTATACGCTTAAATGTGATTTAAATATAAACGTGGGGGCTTTGCCCCCCCCCCCCCCCACACCCACTATATCTCTTTACCATTCTCTGGTTCTATATTTAACGTTTATTATAATAGTTCAATATTAAATAGAAATTAGTAAAACATCAGACAGCAGCTGCTATAATGACGATTATGGCGATTATACACATTATTATTTATTAATTTTATTATTACTGGTAGATGAAGCCGGACGTTGCTGGTATTCTGTAGCGTCTTATCAGTTAGGTACATATAATACGTTTTCCCACAATATTTATAAATAACTCTAAGGTCAGTATAGTATGCTAATAGTGTACTATATTAGTATAGCTTATAACTCTTTTATCAGTTTCAAGTTTGAAGCAACAAAAGACAATTAAATCATTAATGTTTGTATAATTTTACTTAAAGTTGGTATAACAGAAAGGTATACTATTTAATAAATAACAATAATTTAAATAACAAGTTTTTATCATGATAAAATGTAGTCAGGAGGTCAAGTATTGCTAATCTAACCAAGTGCACCCTATTGACAACTAATTCCTGAGTATACTGCGATATCCATAGAATGCATCCGAAATTGAGATAAGGCGAGAATTTAGAAAATGATAAAGTAAAACTACCTATTTAGGTTGATATGAATGTGTTACAGTTTTGATGGTAGAACTGTTGAAATTAATCTGATCGTGGTATTCACAAAATTGCTACTGAAATGGGATTATTAGCTACAACATTAGGTTTACATGGTCCAAGTGCCTACCAGGAAGCATCGTTTGAGTTTTTTCAATTTTCAAAAGATAAAGAAATATTTTCATTGTCTCATTTACTATGAAATTTTGTTAATTTATTAGATACATTACAAAGTTGCTCACAAAAGTTACAGCAAAACAAATACGTTTTTCAAAATCTTAATATACAATAAATAATAACAAAATATATTATTATTGGTAAACCTTTATCTATATTTTATAATCGATCCAGTTTAGTAGTAGTTAAATAAATTAATAATTTTACAAATTTTTTTTTGTAAGAAAATTTTGTTCAAAATTAATCGCTAACTTTTAGAATAATAATAATACACTTATATATATATAAAGATTATTAAGCATCGACATTTTATTTTCACCATTTGATATATAGAATAATATACTATTTTTAATTTATGCATTCACTCGTAAAATATTTTAAATATGTATGTTATACTTAATCTGTTAAGAAAACTTTGATAAAAAAATGTATCAATAAAGATAAGTTTAAAATAATAACTATATAACTATAATATTATATAGTTATCATAATATTTGGTAACTATTATTTATAGTTAATTTAAGAAAAATATATTCTACAACATGTTTAGACATTTTAAAATTTTGTAATTTTATTTTCACCAAATTGGTGTAGGTATACTCTCATTTAGTCCTTAATCTCAGTCTGACAATCATAAATAAATAAGTAAATACATTTAAAAATAATAATAAACAATAAGTTCTTAAAAGATATCTTTATAAATCAAACAGTTGTTAAAATTTCGTTTTCATAATATTTTTTGGTACGATAAAATGTAAAATTGATAAAGATTTATAGTAAATCCTTAAATCTATGAATGGCATTTTTGCCATTCAAAAAACTGGATGGCATCGAAAATTTTAGCGACCCATAAAAACCTATTGTGCGTAAAATTCTTTCGTCTACTCTCGATTTAATAAATTCCACAGTGCTTGCACAATATTATGATATCTTACACGTCGGGCTTGAAATTGAAATGAAATTTTTTGATATTAATTTCAATTTCACTCTATTTGTTTTTCTAATATAAATTAATTAATTCAATTTAAAAGAATATATTGAATTTCTGATTGTATGATTTTTATATTAATGCCTAATAAATATCAATTTGATTGTTTTACGATTGATTATTAGATTTTTAAACACGTGTTTTATTTAAAATATCACTTTTAACATTTTTGCTATTAAAATTTTGATTTCTAATTACATTGGTCTCTTTTTATAATTAGATATAATTATATTCAAGTGTTTGATGTTCATTGTTACGCGTGGCTGTAAAATGGCCTTAATAAAATGAAATTTTAGTCATAAGTGATTACTTACCAATGAAAAATACTATAAAACTATCAAATATTGTTGAGTTTTAAATTTATTCATATTTTTTTTCTATTTCAATATAAATTTTAAATGTTATTAAAAAAACTTTCAATTTTGGTATTATTTTTGATTTCTTAGATGATTTTTAATGATTTTTTTTTATATATTAATATAATTTCAAGCCTCTTCAGCCATAGGTACATTAAAATTTGCAGCCATCATTGATATTATTCACGATTTGAAAGAACTATATTATATACGGCTGGGAATAAACGCTTAGTGAAATAAAAATTACACAAATTATTATTACCATTGTGTGGTCATATTATACGAGTAGGCATAACAAGGTCATATGACACGCGTACACGTACAGTGTACACGTTAAATACTCGTTAGTTACATTATATTTGGTGGTGCAATATAATCATATAGATTATAGTGTGCTCACACAGCTCACAGTAGGATATAGTTGTCAAATATCGTCTTGCTTTAAAAAAAAAAAAATATCAAACCGTTTAGTTTTATAATCGGTGCGTCTTAACATGACAGTGCGTATGTGCGTGTCGATTGGTTGACCAATAAGGCAATAATAAACAACAATTTAATTTAACTTATTATTTTATCACACTATACCTATTTGATAAAACGGTCAATATGAAGCTCATCTTTCGTTATTTTTATTTTTAAAATAAATATACAATTTATATAGATGCAAATAACAGGAGACTAAAGGCTAAGCCTCTCAAAAATTCAATATTTTTTACATTCATGACATATTTTGGAAGTTTTTGTAATATGAAAAAAAGTTTTAAAAGATTGTGTAATGGACCAGATACTTTTTATTTTAAATTAATATGAGTAAGAAACAAGTAATTATATATATTTTTGAAAAAGAAGCTCTACACACCGTTAACATTTATTAAAATAAATTTTAAAAAAACTGAACGAAAGGGTGGTACAGCAGTCGTTGCGGTAATCTCCAATAATGGTAGGTATGTTATTGTACAATGGTTAAACACACACAAGAGCAGCTGCTCTATTAGTTATATAAATTATACAAGCAAACATAATGTGAAGTATTATTAATTGACTCGTTTATGGATACTTAAACGAAAACAAGAAAACCATCAGGCTTAGTATGGCTGTATGAGTAATGATTGTGATAAGAGCAGCCGCACATCAAAATGCTTTTATAGATATTTAATCGTAATATTATGATAAATTAATGATCAGATGTTTTTGACGCTGATCGGGAATTATATAGGCACCAGGCTTAACTTATTTTGTTATTTATTAGTTATTTTTTGGTTCGGAAAACATTTATCGATGATATATATATACGCTGCAATATATACATATTACATATAGGCATATAAAAATATAGCATGTCCTATCCACATTAAAAATTGAATACAAACAGGATTCAATATTATAAATAATGAGTAATAACATTTAGAATCCTTTAAAATTATTTTCAAAAAAATAAAAAATATATTTAAAAAAAATATTGAGATTTAGAATTAAGCTTTTGTAAAATAATATTATTGAATTGTTCAATTGATATACATATACATAACCTTTGCTTAAAATCTTTATTTCAAAATTCATAAAAAAAATAAAATAATTTATGTTACATAAGATCAATCT